CACATTTCCAGCCGCAGTTTCACTAGGCACTGTGACCAAGGAGTAATTCAATGCAGCTGCCAAGGTCCCTGGGTATTGATACCAAGTGATTATTCAAGGTTTCCATGCAACAGTTGCATTTCTCAAATGATATGACAAAAAAGAGAGCCTGGAGGGTGAGAGCAGTCTCCAGTTTCGGGCACTGGCTTAGGGCGCTCTCATTTAGACAAGCTGCTTCCCCATTTGCTTAGGAATCATTCTTTCCTTTCAAATAATTACAAACTTCCCCGAGCCAATTTAACAAGTCTCAAGTGATGTGATGGAGAAGAAATCAATAAAGAGTTTCTTTTAGCATGTCTTTTGAAGGACATTAGCAGCAGTGTGGGTGTGTGGTGTCAGGAGCCTGCGTTTGTGTGTCCTGACCCGAGGAGGGGATGGAACATGCAGTCCAAAGGTATTCCAACACATACACACACAAACCCAGCTATTTTTCTGCTGGTTTTTTCAGTCATATTTTCTCCAATCCCAGCCAGGGCGGGCTAATGCGTATTAAGAAGTCAGCAGTGTCAGGTGCCACCAGGCTGAGGGAGCATTTTTTACACACATTTACTTAAGAAAGACTTAATTGCCTTGGAAATAAGCCACTTGAACCAGCCTCCCAGAGTTCATTCTGCATATCCACAGAGTAGATTCAAGCAGCACTTGCAGGCTTTTCCCTCTCCTGGACCAGGCTGGCCACTTTGACAGCTTTGATTGACAGTGCTACAAACTGTGATGTGACACAAATGGACCTGACATAAAAACGAAGTTAAAGCTGCGTGGAGTAACAGCTGCTTTTAAAATTAAAGGTTTTGCTTTTCTGTTTGCTGTTCTAATATCAGAGTAAAGCTTCCTGTGGTCTCATATAAAAGCTTTCCAAATTTTGTTCAATTTTTGATGCGAAAAAAATGTGCACAGGGAGAAAGACTGATGGGGTTTTATAAATACAAAACTTACAATACAATTTATCTGCTTAAGTTTTTTTTCAGCTCTAGCTCTGAGGTAGAAAAATATAATGAAAGAATGTCTGAGTGACATGTTGAGTAGTAGAAATACATGCATTAAAATGTCCTCCCAGCTGTGTGGGGGAGTGGGCACAGGGAGCTCAATCAGAAGTGAATGCCCTATAAATATGCAGAGGAAGGATGGGGGCTGATTACTGATCTTGTCTATGCTTTGAAGAGCTGGACATGAAATTCAATGCTGGAGCCTGTGGTGTGTGGCCATGGCATAGGCAGGACTCTGTGATTTACCTGTAGGACTAAACCCCTGCATAAACTCTGGCTTCTGGTGCCTGACCACCAGCAGGGCTGTGCTGGTCATTAGATGCAGTTACTCATTTGTGTCAGTGTCAAGTAAACTGAGGAAATGTATCAGAAAACATGGGTTTCTCAGCTGAAAAGGAAGGAAAAAAGTATTGTTCCCTTGTACAAGGAAAGGGAAGAGACTGTTTTATTAAGTGCATGTGACATTTCTGTAGCTTAATGGCAATATTCATTGTAGCTGGCTAGGTTTGCTAGACTGTGGCTGCCAAATGCAATGAGTTTCAATATCCCTGAGTGCTATGATTAATAAAAATAAGTCTTATTCATTCAGCATAATAAATAATAATATAAAATAAACATTTAATAACAACTGGTGTTTCATGCTGTGGCAGAAAATATTTCACATATTATTTTTTTATGTAACATAACGTTAGTAGGAATCTTCTGATGGTATTTACGAAGCTAAGACCTTCCCCAAAGTCACTCTGAACTCTCAAGCCTGTGAAGTTGAAAATGAGGTGAAGCCTTTGGTGGCTCAGGTGACAATCTGCAGTTCCCAGGGTGCTACTCAGAGCATGCAACACACAGAAGTACCAAAAAACCCTGCAGGAAAAGGGTGTTACCACAGTCCCATCAATTAACCTGGACTTCTGCTGGTGCTAGAAGGGCTGAGTTTGGGGTTGCATTATTACTCACACAGTTACAGACATAGCTGTGAGTTACAGACACAGTTCTGTGCTACATTCACAGTTGTACTTTATTCACACAGTTACATAAGTCACACGCAGTGACAACGCACAACTCCAGTGGTGGCATTTATCATGCAAACAGGTCCATTCCTCGCTCCTTGCTCCTCAGATTTATTAAGTAGATTTATCTAAGAAGGGATCTGCATTTCTTCTTGTTCCCCCTCAATTTAAGTGTTGTGACATCCTGATATAGTGGCTCATCTCATGTGTGTTGGGAGGGAAAAAGGCAATAAAAATTCACAGTTTCTCAGTCCATGACAAGTGCTGCTACTAGTGAGGGTTGTAATTCAGCCCACATAGGCATCAGTAAACAAGTCCAAAGAAGGTTTTGTGGTATCTCTTTTGCCTTTAATATTTGAAGCTCAGGCTGTCAGCTGTTCTAGAAGAGAATTTTTTAGGTATTTTTGTGTGATTTAAACCGAGTGAATAATGCTGCTTCATTTATGTCAGGAACTGCAATATTTAATAACCAAAATCTAGTCTTATTAATAGATTAGAAAGAGCTTAGTAAACCTGTAAAACAGGAAAAAAGTAAAAATGAGTGCTCTTTTGTTTAAATCCTATTCCAGAGATGTTTTTTCCCCTAAGTTTTAAAACCATCATACAAAATCATTAATTTATAGGCAAAATTGCACACTAGGTAGCTTATCTTAGTAAGTTTCCACTTGCTATTAGTCTTCTTCTCTGCAATTATGGTGAACTTATTCATGAAATCTCTGCAGAATTTGGCTCTAGCTGTTTTCTGCGCTCTCAAATCAGACTGACCTTTATATGCTTGCATATTGTCCTTTTGAAGCCAAGCAAAATGATTTCTATCTGGAAAATCTCAACATGGAAAACAGCTCAAGGATACTGTGCCTGCCTTGTATTATTTTATGTTGTAATTTGTTCCTTATCATCATGTTTCATATGTTCTTGACATTGGGCATAACAATTATAACAATGGCAATTGTGCTAAAAATATTTGTCATTTAGTTTCAGGCTAGAAACAGTTCATAAGCAGATAAAAGGAACAAGTAGAGGAGGCAGTGCTGGCTGCCTTTGCAAATGTTTCTTCTTGGCATTATCTATTATCTCAGAATAGACATTTGCCACACATTGCAGAGATGGGGAGAGAGCTATGCACCCATCCCAAATTCCAGGAACGGTGCAAACTGGACTTGCCAGGGAATGGCACACATTTATTTGCTTGCTGAGAAAGACAAATGTTTGTGGCATTCCTTCATTCCTACTGCACACCAGACAGCCCCATCCTGCACCCCTCACGTAGGTGATTCTTTTCTGCTCACTGTGTGTCTGGGCTTGAGGATGACTCCTGGCTCAGGCTGTGAACACACATATTCACTGAGTGGTTCACTCAGAACCACTGCAGAGCCAACACATATCCCTGGATTATCTACCAATTATATGGAAAAACAAAGATTAATATGCTCATTAGACCCTGTAACACAGCATTTGTGTAATGGGAACCTCATTACCTGTTGGTTCACGTTTACCAGAAAATGATGGTGCTTATGAGAAGAGATTACTTTCTTCTTAACTGGAAAAGCAAATTATTTAAGCCGAGTTTGCTTTATATTTCATACCCCTTCCTCTGTCGGCCTTACACACGCACACTTAAGGGCCCATTATCTTCTCATTGACGTGAGGGCATTATCTGTGTAGCCACCATTAATGGTAATGAAAATGGCTCCTGTTAATCTCCCGTGCGCTGATAGTCAGATAATAGCCTACTTATTAAGTACAGAGGCCAGACTAGGAGTTGCACTGAAATGAGCAGCGTATTGTCTCTGTGGGATTCAGACGTAAACACTAAATCATTGTCCTGTGCCTACAGCTGATGATTAAAAAGAAGTTAGCGACAGCATAAATGTGCTCGCCTGGTCTGTGCTTCCAAACACACAAAGCAACTCTGGGTGCTCTTTCCATCTGATCCACCCTCACCTTTGGGAGGATCTCTGGAGACAAAATCCTGAGCTGGCAGGGACACACAAGGATCATCGAATCCAACTCGGACTTGATGGTTTCCTGCACAGGAAACCCCAAAATCTCACTCTGTGCATCCTTGAAAGCGCTGTCCAGAAGCTCCTCGAGCTCTGGCAGCCTTGAGGCCATGACCATTCCCCTGGGAAGCCTGTTCAGTGCCCAACCACCCTCTGGGGGAAGAACCTCTTCGTCATATCCAACCTAAACCTCCCCTGACCAAGTTTCAGCCATTCCTTTGTGTCCTGTCAGTGGTCACCAGAGAGCAGAGATGGGAGCTGCTCCTCATGAGGAAGCACAGACCTCAACGATGTCTCCTCTCAGTCTCCCTTCTTCAGGCTGAACAACCCACGGACCCTCAGCTGCTCCTCTAATGGCTTTCCCTAGACCCTTCCTCATCCTTGTGGCCTCCTTTGGATGCTCTTTAGTAGCCTTAGCTCCTCCATGTATTGATTGGGGTGCCCCAGGCCATCCCAGTGCTCCAGGAGTGGCCACAGCAGCACAGCCAGAGCTGGACATGAAGCTGGGGGAGGCCTGGGGGTCCAACCAGCCCCTCCACCTGCTATTCCCAGCCTGGGAGCACCAAGGGGCATCAGCTGAAAACCCCCACATCAATAAATGTCTGAGGAAAAACCGCGTAATTCCATAGAATTCACCCCCACGGGCAGCCTCCCCTCAGCCATAAACCCCGGGGGTCGTTTTTGCAGCCTGGAGCCGCACCGAGAGCAACGCGTGCGCCAGGTTCGCTTCAGAGCTTTATTTCAGCTTTTCCCGTTTTAACAAATCCCTCAAACTCCTCTCTGGAGCACGGGGAGCTCGATACAATCCCATCTGTTCGGAATTCCTCGCCCGGCCCGGCCCGGCCCGGCCCGCAGCGGGTTAAGCCGCGCACCCACAATGCCTCGCGCCCTGCAACGTCGGCGGCGCCGGGCGGGACCGGGCCGCGGCCGGGACCGGGATTGGGATCGGCATCGGGATTAGGACCGGACCGGGATCAGGACCGGACCGGGATCAGGACTGGGACTGGGACTGGGACAGCGGTGTTGCTCAGGGTCGTGGTGCGTCCCCGTCCCCGCGGCTCCCCGGGCCGGGGCTGGCTGTGCCCGTGCCCCGCAGCCCAGCCCAGCGCTGAGGTGGCGGCGCTCGGGCCCGGCCCCCGCGCTGTCACACAGGACGGTCCCGAGGGCGGGCGAGCTGCGGGGGCCAGGCTGGCGTGGTGGGCAGGAGGCGGCTGCCTGCTCGCTGTTTCAGTATTTCTGCGTTTTTTCTTGCCTAGAAAGCAGAGGCCGGAGGGCTCGGCGGAACCCGGCCATGTTCTGAGGGAGGCTGCAAGACGCCGCTGGGATCCGGGTAGCGCAGGTGTGCCCGAAGGAATCGCCCTTCTGTCGGCCCTGCCAGGCGCTGGGTGAGGCGGGTGAGTGTGAAACTGCGCCGCTTTAAAACTATGCACCGGTCTTTGATGTATTTGTGAAGGAGAGCCGTGCCGGCTCCATGGAGATGGGCGCAGTGTGTGATTCCAGAGGTTTCTTCAGCCTCTGTGGCCTTTTTGCACTGGTGGGAATCACAGGGAGCCTTCAGGACCGTGAAGTCACCAGGCCACGTCACCCGCTGTCTCCTCGTGTGCTGAATTGCAAAGCCCTTTGCAGGTTGGCTGTGTATTTGCTGCTGAATCAGAGGAGCAAAGTCCTATTATGTATTATTTCCACTTTTAGTCCACTTCTGCCTTTTTGCTTGTTTAGCGAACTAAGGATTTCATAACCAGAAAACTTATATGGTTTTTGCTCTGGGAGAAGATTGGGAAATAAGAGTGTGAGATTGATCTGTGTGAATCTGTCTCTTTCCACTTTGGAACCCTTGTAAAAAATCTTTATGTTCTTCAGTGGAAGCTTACTCCAAAACTAAACATTTTCTTCACTGCTTATGTCCGTTTATATTAGATCAAAACAATGTATATTTCTTTAAGGTGGCTTCTTTCTTCAGTATTTAGTCATGAAACTTAGACAGCTCAGTGGTTGTATGTCCAGTCAGCTACCAGGGCTCAGCTTTTTGGTGGTAATCAATGATAATTTGCACCCTTAAAACTTTGTGGGCAAATAATTGGAAGTAAACTAGGCACCTCTAAAGACATTACCTATTAGAAAGGTTAGAACATGACATTTTTACTTTGTCCTTTATTTCCAAATGCTTCGGTGGAGGAGGACAAGGTGAAAAGCTGGTGCCTTTAGTTACCTCCTTTTTTCTTGGATGTGGATGAAGCTCTGCTTTCCCACCCCACGGACGTGGTGGATCGAGCAGGGAACTTGGTGCATGTGGAATGAGTGTGTGTTCAGACTGCAGTTGGCCAAGGTCTTTCAGTTTTTGTTTAGAAAAAAGGTAGTTATGGCAGAACCAAAAGCAATTGCTTCCTTTGGAGCTGGAGATCTGAGACTCGTGTATAAACACTGGAGGGGGTTGGATATTGGCTCTTGGGGGATGGATGGAACTTTCTGCTTTGCAGACAATTCCTGGCACGTGCACAGTTGGAGGGGGAAGAGGCTTTCCTGGCACAGCTCCAGCAGTGCTCCTCTGCCATGGAGGCCTCTGCAGGTAGACTGCCTCTGTTGGTTATTCTGATTGAAAACCTGTGGAAAAGGAGGCAAAAATGGTAAAGGAAGGGTAGGGGTAAGAGGATTGAACATCTAGCCAAAGAGAGGAGCCTTGGAAGCTGTCAGTAATGTACACGAAGATGTTGGGGAAATTCATTCCTGGGGGAGAGGTGTTGACATGCAAAGATAAAGCAGCAACAATGGCAGAGAGGAGGGCCCAGAGGGTGCACTGTTGTCTGTCTGGCTGTTCCTGCTGAGTTATTTACTTGATTTCTGTACTGCAGAGGAAGAATTCTCTATTATCTCACCAGGGACAAAGAGCAGAATTGAAGACATGGACTGGGAGTCATGTAAATGTGTTTATGGTTGTTATTTAGGACAAGCAAATGCTTGTAGTGCTATCTCCCTGCTCATGTGCACATGAGTAAGTTAAGGAAGGTTAAATGTTATTGAAATACTATTGGGAAAGGTGTGTTTCATTATATGAGGGGTTGTTTGCCACATTTTCATTCTTCTCTTCTGAAAGTTACACAATTCTTACTGGATGATTGATAAAAAATAACTGTGTTGAAGAAAATAACTTTATTTTAATGCAGGAGGACAGGAAGATTTTATTTACCACTACTTGCAGTAACCTTTTGAGTCTAAAACACTTTTATCACAATTACCTGGTTTTGCCTAATACAAAATAATTAAGGCTGAAAAGGTGGCACATTCTAAACATCAGTGAAAACACTGCCCTTAAATTCCACAGAATTAAGTATTTGTCAACAAGATGTTTACAGAGGAATAGGTGCTCTAGATGAAAGGCAGTGAGTTCTGTGACAAACACTTCTGCTTTTAGCAGTGGCAACACACAGGTACAAAACTGAGCTTTTTCCTTTCTGAGTCATGTTATCATAGCTGCTGATGCACAGAAGTATTTATTGTACTGCTCTGCTTTAGAGATTTCTAAGAAGCTGATGTCAGTCATACAAATGCAGTGTTTCCTTACTTGTAGCATTTTACCTTCTTAAACACCCTTCCTTTATTAAAGATACATCCTCTCTCCATCCCCTAGGGCTGTGGCAGTTGTATGTAACATTTAATCGTTTACCTTCTAAAATGATTGTGAGATTGTTGATTTTATTGATGTTGTAAGGACTTTTGATTATTTAGTCAAATAGCATGGTGAACCAGTGTCAGAGAGTTGCATAAAGCCATTTTTGCCTCTCAACCAGTATTTGGTGAAAATATCAACCAGCTGTTCTATGCTTTGTGTCTTGACTGGCCAGTAAGCTTGACATTTAGTAGTTGGTGCTGTTTCTAGTCAGCTTGGTGAGTTCTGTATTTTATTACATCTTAGAAGTTTGTTTTCTGGAGTAGAAATGATAAGATGGAGAGGAAGTAAAAAAGGAGAGCAGATGATATTTATTTAAAGTTAATTTAAATATGATGCTATTAGTTGGTAATAGGAATTTATTTTTTATCTAAATTGCAGCCTTATGCTGCACCCTACACTATAGTTCTTCAAATCATGAGTGCTTTGTGTATTTTGAGTTTTCCAGGCTGTGTACTGTGTGAAAATCACATTTTTTGTCTTAATGTGAATTTTATCCATAGCTTGACTGCTCCCTGCTGTTTCCTGCGTCATAAAAATTAGAGTGAGATGATGTGGTCTGCCAGTGAGACATGCCTGTTGAATTACAATTCTATTTTGTGTAAAAGGTCCCAATAATTGCCTTAATTTCTTTAGAATTCAGTTGACAAACAAACTCAATATTTCTGGAAAATTACAAGTTCTTGTGTCCTCTCATAAGGGCCTCCTTTAGCAACGTGTTCTGCACTCTGAAGTGTAAGAGTTCCTGCTATTTTTTGCGTAGGTCTGATGAGCTGTGTGCATGTGATCCTGTAAAATCATGGATATTATGATTTCAGGAAGGGTAGTGGATGGGTCTGGGACAGGAACCAGTGGAGTCTGTTTTGATACCACTTGTGACACAGAAGAATTCCCGTGTTTATCACCCCACGCCCACTTTTCAGCCATGACTGAATTGCACCTTTTCACTGATGGAGTTAAGATGAATAAATCCCCCCAAAAGTGCAAATTAAATGGAAGAATAAGGTTGTGGTGTTCTGTTTTTCCTCTGCAGCTGGTTGTGAGTCAGTGGTTTAGATTCCAGGCTCTTTGTCACAGAGCTGTGCTTGTGAGGTACTGAGCATCCCACCAGAATCAAATCTGTGATCATGACTTAGTTTTCTTTTCTTTTTCTCCTTTTGCAGAATCATGGCAAGTCCAAGAACAAGGAAAGTCCTCAAGGAAGTCAGAGCACAAGATGAGAACAATGTGAGAAAATTATGATCTTTAGATCAGTTTTGTACAATTGAATTTGCTACTCCAAATGAACACTGGGGTCTGCTACAGCTGCCATTGTCTTCGTGCTGTGGCTCACTAATGCTAACATAGAAATTTGGATATCTCATGTATGCATTACAATAGATTGCTGCATATTTGGCACAATATTTCAGTTCTAGTAATGCTGGAACCCCTGGGGTTTTTTCAACAAGTGGTGTCTGGGGCACAACTTAAATTAAAATGATCCATTTCAAGTAGCTTGATTATACTTTGAATGTGATAGTCCATAGAAAGATTCAGCTTTATTTATATCAATGCATTAAATCTCAAGTGGTGAATCTGATCATAAAGTTGTTGCACTGGATGAGCAATAAAGCTATTTCTAAAGAGAAAATTCTGTTTAGATCTGCTGCCATTTACTGCCAAACTGTAGTGTGACTGAAAAAATGTTCCAAACTTTAAATATTGAATTTTTATTTTGCCAAGGAAACCTCAAGAATTCAGTTTGGTTACTTTCTTTCAAGGCGATGAAAATGAAATCAAAATGAGTTCTTTGCATAGTAATTTCCGTTTGCTTGTCTGTATTTTCTCACTGGTTTTTGGTAGTTGGTGCAGTAATTTTTATAATCCAAGCAGCATAAATAAATACCTGAAGGAAGTTTATGATGTCAAGGAAGGTGTTTCCAAACATGAAGAACCCTTCCTTCTGCAATTATTTTTGGTGTGTGATGCTTTCATGATTTGTCTTTTTGAGCTGTGAAAACTTCCCATGGACAGTGATGGCAGACTGCAGAGATACTGTTTCTCTCTCACAGGTCTGTTTTGAATGTGGTGCATTTAACCCCCAGTGGGTGAGTGTGACCTATGGAATTTGGATCTGTCTGGAGTGCTCAGGAAAACACCGAGGCTTGGGAGTTCACCTCAGGTCAGCCTTTGCAACAGACCTTGGGCTCAGGGTTCATTATGGCTGTGAACAGCATGTGTTGCTTTGGAATGTATAGAATGTCTCAAATTCAGTTTTGCTTCGTGCTCCTCTCCAAAGTGGGCTTTGCTCTCTGTGCCTTGTCTTTAACTAATTGGATCTAAAAAACCACCTTCATTCTGTTCAGGAGATTCCTTTTTTCTTTGTAATTAAACGATAGTTTTTGTTGTTTTTCCACAGCCATGCTCTACTGAGATGGGAGTCTGTGGAATAACAACTGTTTGGGGTTCTGGAGACTCACAGTGTGTATGTAATAGGGCCAAAGCAGGGAACAGTTACTCAAATGAGCAAAGGAGAGAAAGTCCAGGAGGGAAATCACCAAAGCAAGGAGGCCATTCAGGAGTACATTCTTTGTTTTTCCAGGGATGATTTGGAGCTCGTTAGTGAGTAGAAGTTGCATAGGAAAGGAGCATTTGGAACTGTTTGTGGCATGGAAGACAAGATGAAAATTCTTAGAATAGAATCATAGAATTGCCAAGGTTGGAAAAGACCTTTAAGATCATCGAGTCCAACCATCAAAATGCACGATAACAGACAAAAATAAAATTGCAGAGTGAAGTATGGGAAAAGTTTCTGTTACATAGTGGGCTAGATTAACTTCTGGACTTTGAAGGAAGCTGCTTTTTCAGTCACTTGCCTTCTGTTGACTGTCTCCTTTAAATGCCAATAAATGACATGATTTTGGCTTATTTCAGTGAGGATCTGCCCACCTTCTTATCATGATCTGTCTTTCTGTACTTGGAGAGTGTTCTCTAACATGTTTATACTCTCAACTTTTGAAATAGGTTGTAATAAGCTTCTTTTTGTCACTGTTGATACAGCAGGAAATTATAACAAGCTGTGATCTAAATTTTTTTTTAAACCTGCTTTTCAGTTTTGTGCGTTCTGTAACCATGGACAAGTGGAAGGATATTGAGCTGGAGAAAATGAAGGCTGGAGGTAACAGCAAATTCAGACAGTTCTTGGAATCTCAAGATGATTATGATCCATGCTGGACAATGCAAGAGAAGTACAACAGCAAAGCTGCAGCTCTGTTTAGAGACCAGGTAAGCTCAGTTTTAGGTATGTCCTCGCCTCTGTGATCTGAAAATATCAAAAGTGCTTTGTAAGCATTTGGTTTTGAAAGGAAGGAAAGCTGCAATCTTTTAACCTTTGCAGTGGTTCCTGAAAAGGTAAATGTGAGAGAGTGAAATCCTAGAAGAGTTAATGTAAACCTGAATGAGTTCATGGCTCAAGTATTCAGCAGAAGAGAAAAGGAATGTTGTCCTGCCAGAGAGATAAGGTGGGGTTAGAAAAGAGTGTCTTGGGCAAGCAGGAGCTTTTCTGGACTAACTTCCTTATTTTGGAACTCTCTCTTTTAACTTTCTCTAATTTAGCCCAAGGGTATCCCAATGGTCTGGTACCTTAGAGTTGACAGTCCAGGACTGCCCTCTTGGGACCCTAAAGGTCTTAGAGTGCCTCTTTCCTAGTCTTGTAAGAGTTCTCTATTGAAGTTCTCATTTCTGCATTTAGCTGAGGTAGTTCTGATTTTTAGTGCTGCAGTTTGTTACAGCTGTTTAGTCAGTGGAGCTCAGTCTTCAGTTCACTGCAGTTCACAGCTGTAGAGCTCTATCCAAAGTAATTTTTGATAAATCTTCAGTGTATGTAGTAACATACAACAATAATGTAGTTCTGTTCCTCTGTTACTCTGTGATTAGTACTTACATCTCTTCATTAATCCAGTCTTTCCTTTTCAAAGCAAACCTGCCTCTTTGAGGAAATTGTCTCGTTTTCTATTTCAGTTGCCTGAAATAAAACCAGTGTTCAATTCAGCATCACAGTCTGGGAGTCAGAAAAAGAATTGGTTTCTTGTGGAAAAAAAGTTAATTGATCCAGCAGCAGATTGGAAAAATGACTGTTACAGAACCAGTTTATAATTTGTATGAAATCTCTGACTTGGCATTCTTGACTATTCTGGCTCTTGTAGGTAGCTACAGTAGCTGAAGGCAAGGAGTGGTCCATTGAAACTTCTCCTGCCAGGAACTGGACCCCACCTCAGCCTAAAATGTCTCTGTCTTCTGCTCACCGGTACGTGCCCTGCTTACCCAGTGTTGGTACAGATACAGCATCAGATACAGACACAGCCTCAAAACCTGATGGTTTCATGTCTGCTGGGTTTACCCTCTTGGTGCTGGTGTCTGAACAAGCTGAAGTTATGCAGTGTTGAGGTAACAGGACTTTGTTTTTGTAATAATTACCACTCCCTGCACCTGAGCCTTAAACCATGGCAGAGAGAAGTGAGAGCAGGGCATAAGCCATACTTATTTTATCCTGACTTGTAATGCACCTGAAATTACACATTTGTGTCATTCACAGGTGGTGTGTGACATCCTCACCTTAACTGTGGTGCTGTGCCAGTTGGGATTGCATGCCAGGGAAAAAGAAACAGACTTTTCCCTTCTGGTGCTAATTACCAGGGGAGCATCAAAGCTCTGTACCACAGCAATTCCGTTGTTCTGCTTTTGTATGTAGTGTTTGTTACTCTCTGCACTAAAGATCCAAATTAACTGCAAAAGCAGTTGTAAATCAAAGGAACAAGAGCTTCAATGCAGCCTTTTAGTGGTTGCATTAGAGTTCCCTTCTTGATAGATGAAATAAATAATCAATTTTTAACCTTTATTATGGTGTATACATCTCAAGCTGCACTGCTGAGCTAGTGGATTTACTTAACATGGCTTTGATTATTCAATGTTTTATTTCAGTTCTGCTGGACAATCTCAGACTGCAACTGCCTCTTCTGACAAGGCTTTTGAAGACTGGTTAAATGATGATGTCAGCTCCTACCAAGGGTAATGCAATATTTACTGACTTTCTGAGTGCCCCCTCTCTCTAGCATAACAAAACGTTTGAAGCATTGAAGAAAAAGGTTGTAATTCCAAATATTGTTGTGGTGGGTTCCAAACGAGGGAATTCTGATTGTATGTTGTACCTTACAGTGATTTGAGTTAAACAGAGGCATTTATAAAGCTTCTTTCATTCCTTTTCTCATTTTCATGTATCACTTTATTAGGATTTACTCAGCTTTCTGATGTCAGTGATCTGTTAAACCTGGAGAATAATTAAGACCACATTAGCTTGCCCAGAGGAAATTGTATTGTGCTAGGATTCCTCAGTGGATCCTTGGTGTTTTTATGAAGTGAGTAGTTTTGTGTTTTGGGTGCTGGGTGCTATAGTATTTTCTTTTCCAGGTGCAAAAACAATTGTCATTCTTGCAGGCTTTTCAGTTCTTGTTTAATGTTTTTTAATGGCTGCATGCTGATACAGGTACTGTTTATTCCTTTTCCTGTGGCAGTGGCCAAGAGAATCGCTACGTGGGGTTTGGGAACACAGTAAACCCTCCCAAAAAAGAGGATGACTTTCTCAATAATGCCATGTCCTCGTTGTACTCGGTAAGGAATTGCTTGGAGCTTTCTGAATTACTATTTTTCTTCTGGTTTAGCCCCTGTAATGGGAGAATATGAATAGAGAGGAGAAACTAAAGACTGCAGGTGGATAGGGAGAAATGCAGAGTATTGGTTGTATTAAAGAGTGGAGAAGATACTAGTGGACTTCAAAAGGCAAAATGGAGAAACTTGAGCAGAACTTAAGAATTATGTCTGGTATCAGTTCATAGAAATAAGTGAGGATATAACAATAGATTAAAAAGTAATAATCAAGAGGGCTGAAGGGAAAAAATGTAATTACCTGTAGGGAATAGCTCTAAGTCTGTTAAGCATATTAGGAATGTTCAGAGGAAAACAACTGAAATGTGTGTGTATGTGGGTGCCAGAAGCCCTGAGCAGTGATGAAAACATTTGAAATACTTGTGACAGGGTGTGAAGAGATAACAGCATATGGCTGAACAGTTGTCATGATTCAAGTAGAGATAGTGAAAGATGCATTGTTGAAATAAAATGAGAGTAAAGTCAGAGGCAGTCAGGGCCATACTGGTGCTTTGATAGGCTGCAAAGTCACAGTGCTGAACAATATTTGGGGTTTGGAGTAATTTGGAAATACAGTAAGGTCAGTGGCCAGCAGCTCTCTGTAGAGCCTCACTGGCCTAAATACTCACACCAGGTTCCACTGTTTCTTTAAAAATAAATAAATAATTTCACTGGAACTCACCAGAGAAAGGTAATGTCTGAGCCTTTGAACAGGTTGATCACCATATTCCAGGTGATTCCACAGGCTGCTTGGTATAGATCAGCTAAATATTTTCGAGGTATCTCACAGCTTTTAGGCCAGAGAGTTCAGATTAGAAAGCACATCTGCAGTGTATTGCAGGTGAGCTAAGACAGCCAAGGAGAAGCAACACTTCCTGTTCCTGTGAGGCATTCTTTGAGTCCAGGATCTGCCTGAATGTCCTGGCTGGAATGCCCTCGTGTGAGCACAGGCACACACTGCAGTGTGCTCTGAAATCCTGTATTTCTGCAAGGCTGAGCTCCTTGCATGGGTGTTCATCTGCTGAGGAAAACAATTTGCCTTCCTCTGCATAGGTTGATTTTTCCCCACACTCATAGCCATTTTTAGCAGAGTAACATCTGAAACACCCTGGCTTGTTCAAATTCACACAAATACTGGAAGTTCATCACTATATGTCAGTTAAATGAGAGGCTCTGTTTTTTCTCTCAGTAGCAGGTAGCAGGTATTTCAGCTGTATTAGAGCATTTTGACTTAAGCTAATCTGTTTTAATGAAAACTTGGTTATTTGCTATTATTATTCACATGTAGTTCATTACTTTCTTGCTTTCTTTAAAGGGATGGAGCAGTTTTACAACTGGAGCAAGCAAAATTGCCTCAGCTGCTAAAGAGGGTGTAAGTAAATAAAATGTGGTTTAGTTAACAGTGGAATGCCAGAGATGGTGATATGGGTGTTCTCTTTTCACTGTGAAGTTCTGCCAGATTACCTTGGAGAGGATCATGCAGCATTTCTAAATGTATGCCTTTAAAAATCAAAGAGTTTATTCCAGGTAAACCTGCATATATTTGCTTCTCTTCACAGGCTACCAGATTTGGATCTCAAGCAAGTCAAAAGGTGATTATAGATTTAGCTCTTACTCATCTAATTATCTTTAAGTGCCATGTGTTTGCCTGCACCAATTGACTTAGATTTGATCATCAGCAGACCAGTGTACTTTTCCTTCAATGGTGCACAGTAGTGTTTAGTTCTGGCTTTGAATTCCATGGGATTTGCAATCAGCTGCAGTGATCAAATTAAGCTAGAGATGAACAGGGATACTCTGCTGTTTGTTCCTGTTGGGTGTATTGGAGAGGCTGCAGAGCTTGCAAATTTAACATACTCCTGTTTTACTTCTGTGAATCTTAAATGTAGTCTAGCTTGAAGTAGATACAATACAATGCAAGCCATCTTCCCATGGCTAAAGCCTAATAAGATGTTACAAATGTGAACTGCTCAATGTTATTAATAAATCAACTTGCTTGGGTGTGTTTTTAAAAGTAGCAATGACAAAAGGATTTCATGTATCAAACTGGGGTTAAAACAGAGACATTCAGACCTGATTGCACAGAGCTCTGACATAAGCAAGATTTGTCTGCAAGGAAAAGTTTCAAATGTAAAAATGTATAAAAGAGTGGGATTCTTAATTTGTTTGGTTCTGAGTGAGGTGCAAATATTTATAGATGGTTCAGGAGTTTTAAATGAACAATAACTTGTGTATTTGCAGCATTAGCCTGCTTTGGTTTCTGATAGGCATAGAAAGTATTGCTGAAACCAGTGTGCAGGTGCTGGTGTTCAGACAGGTCTGTGCACTGGGATATTAATCCTTCAAATAGCCAAACGTAGGCATGTTTGCAACAAAAATGTCTTGTTAAAGCACCCTAAGTTTCTACTTCAAACCTTTAATGTATTTACTGCTTGGCTTAATAAAACCGAGGTTTTCTACACGTCTTCCTCTTCAATCCCTCTGGCAGTTTTCCTTTTAGAAGCTGCTCTTTCTTTAGTATTATTAATAAATATAATATTAAATGTAAAAGCTCATCATGTCTACTGACAAGAACCACAGCAACATGGTGCTCTAGAGTCTAAACTGTATTACTGAAGGTTAAATTTTGTTCCTGAAACTTCTAACTTTTTGCAGAACATATTTAGCATATTTTATATGCACTAGATTGGTTAAAAGTATATTTGGGGCCCAGTGACCAAACACATTTCAGTTTGTCTTGTCAGTAGACGTTAAAAGTTGGAAAAGGTTCATGCTACTTAACTTGCCTGAAAAAATGCTGCCAATTTTTTGCTAAAAGCTGCTTCTACCTTCCTTGCTCTTTTCTCTTTTGCTCTCTGGGTAAAGTTTTGGGGCTACAAGCAGCAGCCAGAGCCGGTAACACCCTCACATCTGTTCTTGTGCATGGACTCCTTGTCTGTTCGTGCTGGATATGTGCATTTGCTCCTGAGCTGTCTTTTCTTTTTCTGCCTTACATCAAACCTGTTTAGAATAATGTTGTGTGTTTTGTATGGCAACCTTTCTTCAAACCTACTAAAATCTGTGAAGTTATATAGAGATACCCAAGCTGTGCACTGTCTGAAAATCGACTGTGCTGCTGTCCACACTCTGATTTCAGGATTTCTGTTTGCATGTCTGCTCCAGGAATGTGCCAACAGCTGGGTGTTGCTGGAAGACAGACATTGAATGAAGTGTTTGTAATGGTGGTTATAGTGCTGTCCTAAATTCAGCAATAGGAAGGAAAGATGATTTACATGAAAATACAGTTGTGCCCAAACCTTTCCATTCCACATTTACAAAATTATGTAGTTGAGTAAGAGGGATCAGATAAGAATTCTTCCTCATTCTAGGAGTGACTCCACTTGGACACTTGAAATGTTAGTCTGGGTGTGTTACACTTTTATTATAAAACATAAACAGTTTGCTGGGTTCAGTAGACTCCAGAGGGTTTTGCACAGGTGAGAACACCCCTTTCTTGGTTTTCTTAAACACTTTGTAGCCTCACTTCCAAAGGTAACAAGCCCTTTGTGATTTACATCATGTTTCTCACTAGGTGAAAGTGGGATTTCCTTTTGCCTTGGCTTCTCAAAGAATTTTTATCCTGTAAGGAGTAGAAGTAGTGGAGATAATGGCTGGGAAAAGGGGAGATCCTGGGAATGCTGTGGCTGAGGGAAAGGCTTTTTAGACACCTGGAAGTCTGTGGAGGAAAGATGTTTAAGGTGTTCCATTTCCAGTAAGAACATGAGTGAAGGCTCACACCCTGACCAATGGTAGTAATCAAATATGAACCCTTAGGAAATTAAGAAACTTAATTGCCCTTTTGGCCCTTTTGGATTAACCAGGGTAATTCTGGAAGCACTCAGTATGATATGGCAGTTCTGAAGAAAGTTTAAATCTGTCAAAGGCTTCTTAGGGTAGTAGGGCAGAGAATGATTTCAAACTCTTCTAAACCTGCTGTCCTTGTTAGCATTGCCTTAGGAATGTAATTGTGTGATTTAGACTGTGGGCTTACATTTTTGTAAACTGCCTCTGAAGTACAATATCCTTGTGCAACTTGTTCTGGATTGAAACAGATTTTTGAAATTCATTGTTTTTTCTCCCTGCAAACCTAGAGTTTTAAAGAAATTAATGAAAGTCTTCTGTCGCAGCATTGGCTCTTGTGTATTGCTCAGAAACACTTGGGCTCTTAGTAACAGATGATAATTGGAGCACTACAAGACAGAGAAATTGGGGGAAAATCAGGCAAAAAGATCTAATTCTATGAGTAATTTAATTAGTGTGGAAAAATAGGGGGGGATGAGGACAGTTCTTCCAAATATGCAGCTGCAGACATTAGGAAGGGGCCCATCCTCAAAACTTGCTGGTTGCACCATTGCTTCTGCTTCCAGTGCAAGGTCAGACTTTGCTTGAGCTCTGGGCATCTATTGCCATGTGTATCTGATTTTAATTTATTGTCTCTTAATGTCTCCTGCAGCACTTTGCTGTGTGTGCTTTTCAGCTCATTCTGCTTGTATGAATCAAAGCTAAAGGCTTCTTGTGTTTTTGGAGATACTGCTGAGAAATGAGCCTGCAGAAGATGTTGGCTGTGGGTTTTTATTGAGTTTTTTTTAAAAAGAAAATATAACTGACTTTGTTTTTGTTTTGCTTTTAAATAGGCATCAGAGTTAGGTCAGACATTAAATGAAAATGTTCTCAAACCTGCACAGGAAAAGGTAATTTTGGAACTAGTAAATGACTTGCAGAAAAATGCTCACTTAGGGAATGGTTGATTCCTCCTGCCACAGCTGCCCAGGGTCTCAGGGGGTCTTTTGCAAAGGGGAAACATCAAACAACTCAGAGTTAGGCTGTTATCAGAGAAATGTTAATAAGGGTAAACTCCCTCCACCTACCTTTCTCATGTCCACCAGAGTCTGTCACATTCTTTCTTGTTAGATACCATTTTATAGATTTCATGCTTTCAATAATGGACAATGGAACAAGGGGAAAATGCACCCTAAATGGATATAAAATCTGTTGTTTAAAAATATATATATTTATAACTATTAGTAGTTGTATCTTGGAATGTTAAGTTCCGAGTGTTTTACCTACCTGCCAATTTTATTTTAATTCAGTCAAATATCTTTGAGCCATTTGAAGAGAATGTTTTAATTATATTGCAAACTAATTTCTTTTCCATTTCCTTTATTAATTCACCATTCTTTACATGGCATTTCAAACCACAGGAGAAGACTCTAATTGGTTTTCTATTCCCCAGAATTATCCACAGCTTATTTCAGAAGGCTTAGATGCATTATTTTCAGGGTTGTTTTTAGGGTGCATTTCCTTGAGCTGATTTTTCTTTTTGTAGGACAATTTAATGAGAAATTATACATTCTGTGTTTAAAAAAAAAGAGATCAATTTCCCTTAGGATGTTGTGCTGTTATTTCTAAATAAGTGTTACTTTCTGAAATAAGTATTCTCTGTATGGTTCTACAAAGTCACTTGCTTTGGAACAACTGCCTTTTATTGAGTGGTGAAAGGTACCTCTTGTGTTCCACCAAAATTCAAAGCCCTTTTAATATTTAAATAAGCATCTCTAAAAGATAGAGAATAAAAGGGATCTGCTAAGTTTCCAAACACAATCTTTATGTGCAGTAGACTGTATTGATAAAGCTTCATGTTTGCAGATGTTTTTTGTACTGGTGTTTTTATACTCAGCAGTAGTGTAATGATATCTGAACTGTGTTTAAATGATATTTTCCTCAAACTGGGTGTGATACCTTCCTCAAACTGGGTTTTTAGCCACAGAAAATTCCCACAAACTCAAAGAACTGAACTTCACTCCACTATAGATCAACAGAGGTTATATATAATTTTCTTAACTTTGTTTTGACTTAAATCTATTTTGATTCAGTTTGGGGTTGGGTTTTTTTTTTTTGACATTTTAGCTGTTAAGCACAAATGAGCTTGTCTGAATACTTTGTTTTCTGACTAATTACCAATGCTTTGGTCCACATAGGTGAAGGAGGGGAAAATATTTGAGGAGGTCACCACGGGGGTATCGCAGTTGGCCAGCAAGGTATGAGGTGGCCTGCCTGGCTTTCAGGAGGCCAAACCAGTCAAGCCAGTCTCCATATTCTTATGAAAAATAATACAAAACCCTACTGCAGCTTTGGTGTGCTTGTGTTGAATAGAGGAATTTGGAAAACGAAATTTTCAGCAGGCAGCACTTCTGTTGGGGTGTGTAAAGCTGCACAGGCATGGTGGTGTCCTCTTAGCAATTTGAGTGAGGACATGGGGTGCTTATAAACAACAAAGAAAACACGTGAGGGAATATGGAGACAGCTTGTGTTGCCCTGGTACAGTAAAACCTGCTAATGCTCTGCACCTTTCTCCTTTGCCTTCCGCTGCTCTCGGTGCCTGGGGACGTGGTAAGTGCTGTGTGAGGCTGCCAAGCACAGAAATCCTGCACAAACTCACAGCTGATGGGATAACTTGCATGGTGTTAGCCAGGAATGTGTGTTCTTCTAGCACTGGAAAAGTCAGCACTGTAAGCTCTCCCATAGACCAGCTCAGTGTCTTAGGTTTTGGTACTATTTGAATAAAATAAAAAAATTATGTTACCTGTTCTGTTGAGAGCCTGGCAACTCTCAGGCTGAATTCTGGGATTCATCCCTGTCTCTAACTCAGAATAGTACCTTCCATGGTGTCACTTTAGAAGTTGTATTTCTAATCCAATTCTGGGATTCAACTTCTGGCCTGTTTTACGTGAGTATTTCACTGTTTGACATGGGTAGTGCAATAATGCTGAAACAGTGAAAGCAGCTGTGTGGAACAGTTGAAATATAAATACAGGTTACATTAATCATAAAACATCAGTGCTTTCATTAAGTTTAATTTTAAGTGAGGGCTAATTCCAGGTTTTTTGTCAAGGAAATCTTGGAGGGATTTAAAAGATGTTAAAACAATGGGTAAAAAAGCTAAACCTGACCTACTTCCCACCTCTTCCAGCAGCACAGTGCTGTCAGATGTGTTCTTTACATCCACCACATAACTGCCCATCAAAACCATGAATGAGCTGCGGGTTAAACCTCTTTGATTTATGGGAACATGTGGAGGAATTCGTTCTGGCTTTTGCTGTTGGACTTGGCAGAAGAGTTGGTTCAGTCTAAATGAATGGAGTGTCTTTTTTTCCTTTCTCTAGGTTCAGGGAGTTGGGAGTAAGGGATGGAGAGATGTCACCACTTTCTTTTCAGGCAAACCAGATGATAATTCTGACAGGTAATTTCTTGTTCTTACTTCGTATCTCTGAACAAACAATGTTATTTCTTGTACATTCTCTGCAGTACAGTAGTGAAAGGTAATTTTTCAATATTAAGAATTTACTCTGTCTTTGCTGATAGTCCTCCTCTATGTAATAGAGAGGAATTCAGTGTAACTTTGTTTATAACTGTTTTTAAGATGAGAACAAAGCAGTGCACATACTGTGGTTTAAAACTTACTCTAAATGCACATTCTCTTTCCCTGGACCTGTTAAATTTCTTAACAAAATCTGTGAATTAGACAAGCTTATGTTATTTGGAGCAATATTTAGTTCTTCCTTTATCATCAAGGAAAAAACTTTAAAAATCTTTTTTTTTAAGCAAAGAGCAGTAGAATTACGGTTTTCTTTGGAGTAATTTATTTTTACTGTTATGTTTGGCATAACTAATTTATTTCTATCTTCCTTTCCCCCCACCCCCCAAAAGACCAGCTGAGGGAGACAGCTACCAGAACAGTGGAGGGGAGGGCTACCAGAACAATGCTGTAGATCAAAGCTTCTGGGAGACCTTTGGCAACTCAGATCCACCAAAAGCTCACAAATCTCCAAGCAGTGAGAGCTGGACCTATGTGGACAATTCCACAGAGAAGAAGAGCTCGGATAGCTGGGACGTGTGGGGCTCAGGAACAGTCTCCAACAAGAACAGTAACAGTGACAGCTGGGAAAACTGGGAGACCAACTGGGAGAGCACAGGAGGGGAGAGCAAGACCAGAAAACCTCCTAAGGCAACAAAAAATGCGTGGGATGACTTTTAGAACTCTGCTCTGCACAGCTGGGAAAGGGAGGCTGTGCTGGCTGATGGAGGGGAGGAAGTTTTACACACACCTGGAGTATCATGGCTGACCTTTCTGATCTGTTTGTGCTTCCCATTCATTCTCCTTCCTTCTACCCTGGTATAGGGAAAAAAAAAGTAGCATCTGAATCTTCTCTTACATAAAGGTGGCTCTCCCTTTTTTAAGGATAGTGATAAGTGTATTCTCCTTGCACTACTGGAGCTGGCTACAGCAACTTTCTTAACACGAATGTTAAAGTAAAGAAATCAGTGCAAGGACACTTCCATGGCACAACCTTGCATGTGTAGGTTAATAGGTGTTCATCCAGTCCTCATCTAATTTGAGATTTGGGGTGTTGAATGCAAACAAAGGACAGGGTGTGACTTGGAAAGATTAGCCATTAATTGGGCAAGCTGCAGTTGGATACATCAAGTTCCAATGCCTTATGGATTGCTCTGACTACAGGAGGTCTGGCAATTCAAGATGGTCTTTTACATATTTTTTATTGGAGTGTTGTTTTTAAACATTGTGACATTATTTTTTTTAGTAGTTGAGAACTTATTTTTCCCATTTAGAATTCAGAAGAAATCTAGAGCTAGATAATTATTTGTGTAAACTTACAGGTTTGACCTGAGCTTTCAAGGGATATCCAGAATCTTCTTGCCCACCTTACTCCATGGATTGAGTTTGCACTGTGCAGCTCTGCTACATGGAAAAGCAAAGCTGTGGTGTTTTCCTTCCTCACCTGTGCCCTTGCCCCAGTTTGAGTATTTTATCTTTCTTTTTTATCTTTCTTCCTTCCTTCTACCTGTGTAGTATTTTATTAATGCTGTTAAAAATGAAGTTTTTCTGCTGCTTATGTCCTTCTGGACATCTGTTTGGTAGCCTGGCAGTGAAAACATAAATTACAAAGAAAATTCCAGCAAGAAAAAAAGGGTGGAAAATACAAGAACATCGAGGAAAGACCGTGGCAGCAAGCCCCTTTCAAGATGAGTAGATGTCTGGATTTAATAGTAAAATTTAATTTAAGCAGATGCTTTCCAAACGATTCTTTAGTGTGTTGAGCTGTATCTCTGTTTCTGTCATATTTCTCCACATTTTCTTCCTGTATCTTGTTAAAGAAACACTATTTTGGAAACTTGAGAAACTCTTTGTCAGCATTAAGGACTGGAACAGGAGATGGAGTTATGTGTCAGTTTTGACCCAACAAATCACTTTGCATGACACAAGCCATGACTTCTAGAGAAGAATTGTGACTTTTAACATCAAAGGTATCATAGGTATCCCATTTTATTTTGGGAGATGGGTTGTGAATGTACCCTCAGCACGAAAACAATCAGCTTGAAAACTCAAATCATGTTCTCTGTGATTTGCTTTTCCAGCATGGAGTTCTTTCTGTGAACCCTGTAGATCCTGTTACTTACCTAGAAAGCCTTTCTTTTAAAAACTGGTTAATTTGTTCAGCAACCAATCAGAGGTGTCAAAGTTAACTTAAATAGCACTCCACTTCTTTTACTCCTCACAGAGGTTTTTGAGCAGATAGTAATATCAACAGTTTAAAAAGGAAAGAAAATGAATTTCCTCATAAGTAGCCCATTTTAAAGGCTTAAGTCTGAGTGGAAATAGCTCTGTTTACAGCCTGAATCTGTATTTCTATGACTAGGATCTTTCAGGTGCTGAACACAGTATTTTTCCAGTCTTCTCTGATCCTGTTCTGCAAGAGTTGGGATTTCTTTTTTTCCCCTTACCTCTCCTGAGAGCGTGGTCTGAAGCTCGTGGTCTCTGAGCCTCTGCAGCAGGACCCAGAGATGCTCAGACCCAGGTGCTGCTCCAGGCTGAGCCATTCCCAAGGTGACCCTCTGCAAGTGCCAAAGGCACAAGAGCTCTCAGTTTGCAGTGCTGCTCATGGTACCATTGGCAGCAGTTCACAGCCTGACTAAAACAAGGATTTTTTTTCTGCTTTTTCTCCAGTTCCAAGTATAACTTTGTCATAGCTTAGCTGCATGTCAAACATAACTTTGGTTTTTTTTATGCTTACACCTCTGTTGCCTCCTTGTCAATGTGGCTGCTGCCCTGGCTGAAGCTGATTCAGCCTCTGTACAAGTTTATTCCAGGTCCTCTTTCATCAACCTCCTGAAATGACTCATGGCAGGAGAATCTTTATTTCAGTCCCACTCCATCAGTGGTGTTGTGATGTGTGTGCATGTTCTCCTCAGTTGTGAGCTTTGCCTGGGACAAAAGTTATTTATGTATCACTTGCAGCCACGATTGGCATGAGCCATTTGTTTGTTCTTCTAATTTGATTTTTGTAGCTTTTGAAACTTTTATGTTCTAAATCAAACAGCCAGAGCCTGCTCAAGCAGAAGCTTTGGGTAATGATTTTTCCTCCAGTTGAGGAAACAGGGACAGAACAGTTGTCTCTCTGCAGTGTTGTAGGAAGCAACAAAACGCTACAACTGACAGAAAGATGTTACTGGAAGCTCCAAATAAACCAATATAATGGCAGAAGGTGTAACTGCAGACACAAAAACAATGTTCCAGCTGGTCAGTTTGATGGCCAAATGGGCATTTTTTTAATGACTTGTCTGAGCCTGGATGTGTGATCATGCCTTCCAGAGGAGAGGACAAAACAAGGGCATTTTCTTTTTTTGCACACCCAGTGTTTTTTGAATTTTACTTTTTTTCAGAGTAGGTGGCTGCGAGGTTTCTGCACTCTGCAGAAATGCATCTCCCATCAAGTTGCATGTGCAGAGCAAGTGTTTATGAATCAGCCTGTTTTTATTTTTTAATTTCTCCTCCTCTTCCCCAAATCCCTTTTGGCCTGATGAGGAGCAGAGGCATTGAGTGCAGGCTGCTGGAGCTGAGGGAGGATCCAGCCATGAATGTGAGCCTGTGCTTTGGCAGGGCTGTGGTGACACCGTGGGCTCTGCTCCCCTTCCTTCCACTCCCTGGAATCACAGTTTGAAGTCATACAAGCAGACTGCCAGGAGATGTGCAGTATGTGAAATTGCTGCACCAATTGGACATTGCAGTGGCTGCTTCAACTCCCCTGGTGACCCAAGCTTTTATTTTCTTTGGAAAATACAGGGCAGCTGGATTCCTGCAGGTAGTCTGATACAAGAAAAATGTCAAATCAAACTAAGTGCCACTTGTAAAAGAGTGAAAATCTTGGAGAATGCTCCCAAATATAATCCTGGGAGTCAGGGATTATTTTAGAGTGTTTCATTTGTGTCTTGAAACCTATTAATAATTAGTACAATTCAAGAAGTGCTTGGCCAGCTCTCCCTCATGGTGGAGACCTCAAGGATAATGCTGCTTTTATTTTCCAGGCCAGACTGTAACATTCCATGGGTTCATAATGTACTTGTCAGTGTAATGGTCTGTGCAATAATTTAACAAGTGTAGATAAAACCTTTGTTTAATCCAGGATACATTTAAAGATACAGTGGTCCTCTTGGAGAGAAGCAGTCTACACAAGTATTTCAGTTCTTAGCTTATTTTGGCTGAAATACTACATTTCAGTGACCCAGGTATAGGTGTAATCAGTGATTGAAGCAGAAATTAAGATACATTTCCATGGCCATTATTAAGAATTGGATCCTAATGGCTGAGTAACCTCTAGCTGCAGAACCCTGTTTCATTTCCATGCCAGCAGAAACTTGGTCAGTCTGGAGTACTGTATCTTTAATTTTCCTGCTGTGTTCTTTTGTGAAGTTCACAGGAATGGCAATTTCAGTGAACACTATTCATTGTTCTGTAGAGTGGTTCTGGACTTGAACTGCAGTGTCATCTTTTAAAAAGTATTATAATAAAGCAAAAGATATGGAACAGAACAGTGGTCAGCTCTTTTTCAGGAGCCTTCAGTTAATTTTCAACCCAGGTGCTGGTGTCAGGCATATTCCTCCCTGACAGTAACAAAGGAGAAAGGAAGCTGCCAACATTCATAGAGCCAAAAACGTCTTTATATTTCATTGGAGTTTCACAGTCTAACTTCAAATCTTACTTAGAAGTGAAGGAGAACATTGTTTGCCTCCTTATTTAAGGAGAACTATAAATAGAAATTAAAGTGAAGATAAATTTATGTACTCTTGAGATTTTTATTGACTTTTCTACAGAGGCACTTATTACAGCAGAAAAAGGTAACTTTTAAAGCAGTTTTCCTGCAAGAAGTCCTCTGGCAAATCCTTTGGCTGTATTGGTGCTCCACATTCAGATTCCAGTTTCCTTCATGAGCCAAACAGCCATGTGAGTACTCCAGATGACTGCACTTGGCTTTGTGCAAATTTTAAATATCTTCCATTATGTTCTTCTTGGTCAGCAGGAGTGAATCCTACTTGCTCTGTAGAGGTAATTTTACTGATTTTTATACAAAAAAAATAATGGACATTTGTGTTTGGTAACATCACTGGTATTCCACAGCCAGGCTGTGTCCATTCTTCCTGTAAGGGCTGCTGTGTGGGGTGGGAAGTTTTCACATGAGATTACTGGGAGTAAACAGGACATGCTGGTTCTGGAGAGAGGATTTGGGCCCTTTATTCTGACAACGTCCAGATTAATGACCTAAAAATAAAACGCCATGGAAACAGTGATGAGTATTCTGGATTTCAGACTGAGCTGATAGAAAAAGTGGAGTCTAGACCAGAAAACACAAATCTTGGACTTGAGGGAGGACAGGTCACAGCTGCATTGCTCATGTCCCACTCTGTGCTCAGATCCCAGTGCCAGCAGCAAGTCCAGCTGGAGCTTCCTGCCATTACTGATCTGTGCAGGTGCCCTCCAAGGCAGATGCAGGCTCAGAAGGTGACTCTGGGCTTCAGAGCTCACTCACTTCACACTCGTGCCCTCTGAGGGGTGCAGACAGGCACTGGGCACGTGTCCTGGTTTCCCTCCTGAGGCTCTTCATCTGTTCCAGAAGGTTTCTCCACAGGAGCCATTTGCAGCAGGCTTTGGGCTCAGGAGCATCACCATCACCCCTCCAAACTCCACAGGCTCAGCCCAGTACACAGGAACCCCCCTGAGGCTCTGCACCTCCCCACTGCATTGGCAGAGGTTTGAAGGATGCAGCCATGGGGTGAAAAACTGAAAATCTCACGAGGAAAACGAGCTGGAGCTGTTTCGTCCTGTTGGGAAGCTGTAAACCCTGAAGTTCTGACAGACCTGATCATTCCTAGGCTGTTCAGTCACTGATTTGCAGGAGGCCAAGAGAGGCTGCCTGGCTGTGTCAGCTCCAGACATTTGTGCTCTGTCAGCAAGAGGCTGAATCTCCTCAGGAAGGCAAGAAAAGAAAGGTCAGCTCCTCCTCTGAGCAAGGCGCTGACGTTTGCTTTAGGTGAGATGAAACCATCCTGGTTTTTTATCCTCAAATGCTGCTGTGCCTCCAATCTGAATTTCACCAACACTGCCCTGATGGCAATGTTTGAACTGGCTAAAAAAAGAAGAGATGAAAGAAATACTGAAAAGATCTCCTAGGAGAAGCCTCCTTGTATTTGCAGGTGCTGAGAGTGAGTGGGAGAGGCTGAGTCTCTGGCAGGGCTGGCTGCAAGGACTGCCAAGAACAGTCGTGTTGTACCTCACCAAGATTGTGACCACTGCTCAAGCAGGAATATCCAGTGCTATCAGCTCTGCACACTTTGGAAACCAGTTCTCATCTTTCCCCTCTAAGCCCTGCCAAATTGTGCTCCCTCAGAGAGGCTGCTCAGCATTGCTGAGGCTGGTGAATTTTACAATACATAAATCAGCTTCTGCCAGTAAAGGCAGAAAGGCTGGAGTGTGTCTTTTATGAAAAAACTTCACCATTTCTAATTGAGAAGTGCTGCTGCTTGGTATCAGCAGTTCTGCACTGGATTGCTCATCTTGTCTTCAATGGAATGGTGTTTTACTACCTAGGGCAAAAGCCACTTGTATATACATTTTTTCCCTACTCTGCTGACACAGATGGTTAATATATGTAAATTGATGTGCCAGCCTATATAAAGGCTGCTGTGATCAAGGTCAAACTAGGATTTTTCTTCCTTACAGAACATCTTCTGTGTATTGTTGTTGCATTGAAGCTTGATACCATTCAAGAGGGAATTACTATTTTAATTGTGTGTTCACAAATTGCCTATTGACTCCAGCCATCAGCTGTCACGTTTGGGGAGCAGCTCAATGCACTGGACTTGAATTACAAATCTTGTCTGCCCAGTCAAGTCAAGCTGCCCAGTGTGACTGCAGGGCTGGCAAGAAGAGATAGAATCTGAAGCTGAGGCTGCTGCAACTCTCTTAAACTTGCCCACACTAAGGTGTGTCTCAGCTGGTCCCAGACCTTGGGAGGGAGCACAAAGCATATCAGAGAAGTGGAATAAATAC